CTGGAAGGCCCAAATCTTTCCAAAACCCTCGTAAGATTGACGATTTTGGTCTCTTAAAGGGCTCGGGAGAGGCGTCTTGAAGCGTCGTGGAATGCCTAGGGTTTTTTTTTCGGGCCGTCTTGGGCCTATCTTGGGCGTCCAGCAGCGGTCTTTCGGTGACTCGGGCCCCGCTTGGGCCGTCTGGGGAGCCTCTGCCGTCATGCCGCCAAAGATCGTCCGAAACGTCCCAAGAGGCCTCCAAGAGCACTCCCAGGAAGATCCAAGAAGGCCCCAAGAGGCAAACATTTTTTTTTTTGGGGGGGGGGAGTTCTCCTCTTTTCGGCTTCCCGACGCTCCAAGACGGCGGACTTCTGGACGTCCGAAGCCGCCTGGGAGGCCCCAAATCGCCCCACAACCATCCGAAAGGGCTTCCAGGCACTCCAATAAAGCCCCAAAATGGCACAACAGGGGTCCAAGATGGCCCTCAGAGAGCCTCATGGCGGCCCAAGATGGCCCCAAGAAACCCTCCGACGCATTCCAAATCGTGACCCGGGCTGGCCAGTCGGTCTGGTGGCCCCATGCTCGCCGCCCCGTCGCCGCCGCCCCGTTCCAGCCTCCCCCCATCGATTGGAATCCAAATGCTCACAATCCAATCGATGACAGTCCAATCGATTGCAATCCATGACTCCCTCGTGAAAGTCCTGTGCGATCCCTGAACGGGCAAACGTGGCCCCGAAAGGCTGAAGGGGCGCCCCAGGGGGCCGCAGAGACGGCCCCAGACGCCTTGAAAACCCTCGGAAGGAGCCCCGAGACCGTTCCCCAGAGGGCTCCGACAGGCCCTAAGCCGGCCCAAGAGTGCCCCAAGACAGCTCCACGAGGGGCCTACGTAGAGTGAGGTCACGGGCGGAAAACCGTAGGTTTTCGCTCGAGGAGGTTCCCAGGAGGGCTCCAGAGTCCAGCAGAAGGCACCCAGAGGGTCCCAAGAGGCCCCCAGGAGGCCCAGAAGACGCTCCAAGACAGTTTCAAAGAAACGTCCCACAAAAGTCCACGCGCACTGCAACACACGCTCTGCGGATGTGGACGAGGTGCCGTGTCGCCCTAGAGCATCGGCGCTCCTTCTGAGCGCATTCCGGCAATATTCTTCTGGAACGCGCTGCGCGAGGAGGAATCATTGAGAGAGGAGGAGAAGGGAGGGGGCAGGAGGCAGAGCTGGAGGAGGAGAGGAGAAAGAGAAGGATGAGGATGATGATGATGATGAGGAGGAGGAGGGGGGAGGAGGAGGAGGAGGTAGGAGGAGGAGGAGGAGGAGGAGGAGAGGAGGAGGTGGAGGAGGGAGGAGGGGAGGAGGAGGAGGAGGAGATGGAGGGAGGAGGAGGAGGAGGAGGAGGAGGAGGAGGAGGAGGAGGAGGAGGCGGAGGAGGAGCAAGGGGAGGAGGAGGAGGAGGAGGAGGAGGAGGAGGAGGAGGAGGAGGAGGAGGAGGAGGAGGAGAGGAAGGAGGAATAGGAGGAGGTTCAAGAGGATGACGACGAGAGCGCATCAACAGCAACGTGAGCAGAAGGAGGAGGAGGACGACGACGACGAGGGGAACCTCAGTGCTTCTGCTGAGCATGTTCTGGCCAGACTCCCAGACCGCTCTGAATGAGAAGAAACGCGCTGAGACTCGAGAAGACGACAAACTGAGACTAGAGAACGAAGGGGGAGCAGGAGGAGGGGTAGGAGGGAGGGGAGGAGGGGGAACAGGCCGCGGCATCAGCAACATGAGGAGGAGGACGAGGAGAAGGAGGAGGAAGAAAACCTCGCTGCTTCTGCGGAGCGCGTTCCTGCAGGACTCTACCGGAACGCGCTGGCTGAGGAGGAGACGTACCGAGACTGGGGGAACAAGGAGGTGCGAGGAGGCATAGTTGGAGGGAGGAAGTAGGAAGAGGAGGAGGAAGGGGAGGAGGAGGAGGAGAAGGAGGATAATGAAGGGCAAGAGGAGGAGGACGAGGAGGCGCAGCAGCAGCAAGCTGAGAAGGACCAGGACGAGGAGGGCCTCGGTGCTCCTGCCGATCGCGTTCCGGCAATTCTCTTCCGGAACGGGCTGGATGAGGAGGAGCGTGCGGAGAAATGAGGAGACGGGAGGGAGGAATCGAGTAGATCGAGGAGGAGGAGGAGGAGGAGGAGGAGGCAGAGAAGAGGCAGCGCAGCATGAGGACGATGTGGAGTTGGAAAACGCGAGAAGGACGGGGACTATGATGATAATGAGCACGCGGAGGAGGAGGAGGAGGAGGAGGAGGAGGAGGAGGAGGAGGAGGAGGAGGAGGAGGAGGGAGAGGAAAAGGGGGAAGAGGCGCTGCGCGCGGATCCGTTGGGGATTCGAGCGCTGAATGCTGAGGCGTCACAAAGACCTGGTCAAGACGCCCCAAGTCGCCCCCAAGATGACCCCGAAACAGCCGAGCAAAGTGCCAAGGCGGCCCAAGAGGCGGCACAGACGGCCCAAGAAGCCCCCAGACGGCCCGAAGAATGGCTCCCGAAAGGGAG